TGTCACTCAGGCTGGATTGCAGTGGCATGATCTCTGCTCACTGCAGCCTCCGCCCCTGGGGGTTCAAGTGCTTCTCATGCCTCAGCCTCCCGAGTAGCTGGGATTACAGGCATGTGCTAATTTCTGTATTTTTAGTAGAGAAGAGGTTTCACCATGTTGGTCAGGATGGTCTGGAACTCCTGACCTCAAGTGATCCGCCCACCTCAGCCCCACAAAGTGCTGGGATTACAGGCGTGAGCCACCACATTTGGCCTCTTTTATTTGAATTTTCTAACTATGAACTTATATTATCTTTTTTTAAAAAGTCAGTAAGTGTTAACTAAGTGGTGAGATTATGTGCCACTTTTTGTTTTCTTATTTATATACGTCTCTGTATTTTTTTTAACTAGCAAAATTTATTTATTTATTTTTAGTTGTCTGTGTTTTAGGCAGACAAGCTTGTGTGCAAACATTTATTCATTTATATTTATTTATTTATGCATGATCTTCGTGCAAATGTCCTCTAGATTCATCCATGGTGTCCCAAATGACAGAATGTTGTTTGTTTTTTTAAAGGCTGAGTAGTATTGCATTGTGTATACATACCACATTTTCTTTATCTATTCATCCATTGATGGACACTTAGGTTGATTCCATATCTTGCCTATTGTGAATACTGCTACAATGAATACGGTAGTATAGAGAGATATGCCTTCAACATGTTGATTTCAATTCCTTCTGTGAATATATTCACAGAAGTGGGGATGCTGGATCATATGGTTGTTCTGTTTTTAGTTTTCTGAGTAGCCTCCATACCATTTCAAAAAAATAATGGCTGTAGGCCGAGCACAGTGGCTCATACCTGTAATCCCAACACTTTGGGAGGCTGAGACAGGTGGATCACTTGAGGTCAGGAGTTCGAGACCAGCCTGGTCAATGTGGTGAAACCTCGTCTCTACTAATAATGCAAAAAAAAAAAAAAAATAGCTGGACATGGTGGTGCACACCTCTAGCCCTAGCTACTCAGGAGGCTGAGGCAGGAGAATCACTTGAACCCAAGAGGCAGAGGTTGCAGTGAGATGAGATTATGCCACTGCACTCCAGTCTGGATGACACAGCAAGACTCCATCTCAAAAATAAATAAATAAATGGCTGTATTAATTTACATTACCACCAATAGGGTACAAAGGCTCCCTTTTCTCCTTATCCTTACTAACAGTTGTTATTGTTCTCCTTTTTAATAAAAGCCATTCTAACAGGTGTGAGGTGATCTTGCTGTTGCTTCAATTTGCGTTTCCCTAATGATTAGTGATGCTGAGCATTTTTTCATGAACCTTTTGGCCACTTGTATGTCTTCTTTTGAGAAGTATCTGTTCAGAGCCTTTGCTCATTTTAAAATCAGGTTGTTTTCTTGCTGTTGAGTTATTTGAGTTCCTTATATATTTTGGATATTAACCCCCTAATTGCATGTACGATTTGCAAATATAGCAAATATTATTTAAAAGAAAGAAATATATAGGCTGGGTGTGGTGGCTCACGCCTGTAATCCCAGCACTTTGGGAGGCCAAGGTGGGCGGATCACAAGGTCAGGAGATCAAGACCATCCTGGCTAACATGGTGAAACCCCATCTCTACTAAGAACACAAAAAATGAGCTGGGCATGGTGGCATGCACCTATAGTCCCAGGTACTTGGAAGGCTGAGGCAGGAGAATCGCCTGAACCCAGGAGGTGGAGGCTGTGGTAAGCCAAGATTGTGCTACTCCATTCCAGACCGGCTACAGAGCAAGACTCCATCTCAAAAAAAAAAAAAAAAAAAAACAGCATATTCATTTGTCATTCCCTTGGATGTTCAGAAATCATAAAGTTTATATATAGGAGACTACCAGCAGTATGAAAACCCCACAGTTGACCCCCAAGTTTCCTTAAACACACTATGAAAATCACTCAACTCAAGATGCAATATTCCTACTTCCTTTCCTCTTAAAATAAGAGGACTTAAGCCTCTCCAAAGCATGAGTCCATTAAGTCAGAGACCATATTCTATCATTTTTCACATCCTCAGTACCAAGTATAGTGCCTGGCACACAGCAATCCCTTAATAAATTATTTTTCAATGTATAGTGAATGGATATTAACTACTTACGCGATAAGTCAATTTTTAGTTTGTCCTTAATATCGACACTTTGAGAATGTATTAGCTTCCTGACTGTACAAGCGTGTTCCTAAAAGGGAGGTAAATTGAAAAATCAGAAGAACTAAACGTCAACTTGGCAGCTAACAGAAAAGATATGTTAAAGAAAGTCCTCCCTTAAATAAAACGTTATACCTCCCCAATGTTACTAGCAAGGCCATGTACCATGAGGTACTGTGCACTGTATAAGTCAAGTTAGGATGAAGCTGACTCTAATCTCATAATTGTCTCTTAGTAGCTATAGTTAATGCTTTCTCCTAGCTCTACAATCCTGCCTCTCACTGCTGCCCTTCTGTTGTAGTTGCTCAAGAAAGGCTTACCTAGTTGCAGTTTTCTTGGTATATTAATTCACCCTAATTAGGGAAATAGGTTTCTGAACCTCATCCTTAATATAGTTGCCTAGACTAAGTAATGCTAGAATACAGGTATCGGTGTGGGGGGAGAGAGCCAAATACTTGTTGAGATGAGCTTTGAAAGTCTTGCATGTTGGTGAATTTAGAGGAGACACAATAGTGTTGAGAGGAGACTCAATAGTGGCCCTTCTCACTGCCCCTATTGAGGTGACAGAAAGGATTTCAGAGGAGTCTTATCTTGGCTGTCCAGGGAACAGTCTGTTAGTATTGGTGATAAGTGACTGGGTTCATCATTGTCACAGCTGTTTTGCCAGGAAATCAACCTACATGATAGGTGGTATGTACAGGAGGAAAAAAATGCTGCTAAAAAAGTACATGCTAAGATAGGACTGCTTAACAGAACATGATTTCTGGGAAACAAATGTTCTGAGTTTTTATAGCCTACCTGAAATAGAAATATTACAGAATCCAAGTAGAACTATAATTATGCACTGGAGATATTTGTTCTGAGATAAAAGTTCTTACCAGAGGCAGACGCAATATAAACTGGTTCTCAACTTCATCAGGAACTTCATCCTGGCTTTTACTCATGTCTTAATTTTGAGTTCATGAAAGCAAAAAGAAAACCAAGTCACTAAAAACTCCTCTTGCTCCCTCTCCTGACCACTTCTGGTAGTACCGGCTAAATTACACAAGATCTTGCCCATAATCCACACTAGAATGAAGGGTGTATAGTTAGACAATACCTTATTTGACATAATTATTTCTAAACATCACCTTATGTCCTCTCCAATATGTGTAGATTTTCCAAAGTCAATCCAAATTACATGAGGTAATTTGATGAACAAATGAAATAAGAGCTATTATGAAACATGATTTCATCTTCTTAATGATATTCTTAGACTCTCAGGTAAAGGACTACAATTCAACAACACGGTGGTGGCTACCTAAGCAAACTATATAGCTTCTGCAGAGAAGAATGCAAACCAAAATCTGAAATGGACCCAGAAACCACTTGCAGAAATGTTCTGTGATGATTTGAAATAAACAAGGGCTTGATTTTCAGTATTTCATCTACCTTAATGGATTAGTAGAAATTAACCAGTTCGTGGGAGAGCAGGCAGTTTTTTAAGACTCTGGACCCAGCAACAACAGCTCTGACTACTCTGGGGAAAACTTAGGAGTCCAAGTTTTTTTTTTTTTTTTTTTTTTTTTTGTATTTTTGTTTTGTTTTGAGGCAGAGTCTCGCTCTCACTTATATATGGAATCTAAAATAATCAAAATCATAGAAGCAGAGAATAGAGTGTTGGTTATTACAGGCTGGGGTGGGGGGAGGGGCAATGACGAGGTGTTGATCTCGCTCTGTCGCCCAGGCTGGAGTGCAGTGGTGTGATCTTGGCTCACTACAACCTCTGCCTCCCAGGTTCAAGCCATTCTCCTGCCTCAGCCTCCCAAGTAGCTGGGACTACAGGTGTGTGCCACCACACCTGGCTAATTTTAATATTCTTTAGTGGAGATGGGGTTTCACCATGTTGGCCAGGCTGGTCTTGAACTCCTGACCTCAAGTGATCCACCCACCTCAGCCTCCCAAAGTGCTGGGATTACAGGTGTGAGCCATTGCACCTGGCACGGAGTCCAGTTCTTTTTTTCTTTCTTTCTTTTTTTTTTTTTTTTTTTAAGATGGAGTTTCACTCTTGTTGCCCAGGCTGGAGAGCAATGGCACGATCTCAGCTCACGGCAACCTCTGCCTTCCGGGTTCAAGTGATTCTCCTGCCTCAACCTCCTGAGTAGCTGGGATTAAAGGCACGCACCACCACTCCTGGCTAATTTTGTATTTTTAGTAGAGACGGGGTTTCTCCATGTTGGTCAGGCTGGTTTCAAACTCCCGACCTCAGGTGATCCGCCCACCTCAGCCTCCCAAAGTGCTGGGATTACAGACATTAGCCACCGCACCCAGCTGAAGTCCAGTTCTTATCGTTAGACTCTATGCAAGTATATCTAACTTCATGGGCTAGTTGTATTCCTGAAAGGGTGATATGAATAGAACATAAAATCTTATTTGATTTATTCATTACTACCCTTTATGGTGTGCATTCTATATGCCCAGTGCTACGCTGAGTGCATTAGGTCTATCATTTCATATAATCCTCACAACCACCACTTACTTTGAATGCTCCCAAAAGCTATTTAAAAGAACTCTAAGATGGATCCCTTTATATCATATATAGATATATGTACACACACACACACACACCCCTTTGGTGAAGTGAATACTTTCTCCCAAGTTAATCCTTTTTCACAAATTATAATAATATATAAGGCTGGGTGCGGCGGCTCACACCTGTAATCCCGGCACTTTGGGAGGCTGAGGCGGGCAGATCACCTGAGGTCAGGAGTTCAAAACGAGCCTGGTCAACATGGTGAAACCCCGTCTCTATTAAAAATACAAAAATTAAGGCCGGGCGTGGTGGCTCAAGCCTGTAATCCCAGCACTTTGGGAGGCCGAGGCGGGTGGATCACGAGGTCAAGAGATCGAGACCATCCTGGTCAACATGGTGAAGCCCCGTCTCTACTAAAAATACAAAAAATTAGCTGGGCATGGTGGCACGTGCCTGTAGTCCCAGCTGCTTGGGAGGCTGAGGCAGGAGAATTGCCTGAACCCGGGAGGCGGAGGTTGCGGTGAACCGAGATCGCGCCATTGCACTCCAGCCTGGGTAACAAGAGTGAAACTCTGTCTCAAAAAAAAATAAATAAATAAAATAAAATTAAAAAAAAATACAAAAATTAGCTGGGCATGGTGGGCAGGTGCCTGTAATCCCAGCTACTCAGGAGGCTGAGGCAAGAGAATTGCTTGAACCTGGGAGGCAGAGGTTGCAGTGAGCTGAAATCGTGCTATTGCACTCCAGTGTGGGGGACAGGAGCGAGACTTCATCGCAAAATAATAATAATAATTATTATTATGGGGTACACAATGATGTTATGATATACAGTGTGAAATGACTGAATCAATCTAATTAACGTATCCATCGCCTAAAATACTTATCAGTTATTCCCCCTAACCGCAACTTTCATTTTTTAATTTTAAAAGCTAGTCAAATTTGGCAGTGGGAGACTGTATACCAACTTTAGTGGCATTAATGTTAATCGGTTCTGATAATATCCTACTACTTTCGGACCAGCCTTACCGAAACTTCCTATTCTTTGATCAACATCTCGTCATTGCCCCTCCCCCCACCCCAGCCTGTAATAACCAACACTCTATTCTCTGCTTCTATGATTTTGATTATCTTAGATTCCATATATAAGTGAGAATATGTGATTTTTGTCTTTCTCTGCCTGGCTTATTTTACTCAATATAATGTCCTCCAGATTCATCCATGTTGTTGCAAATGACAGAATTTCCTTCTTTTTAAAGGCTGAATAGTATTCAGTTGGGTACACATACCACGTATTTGTCCATTCACTTGTTAATGGACACCTAGGTTGACTTCATAACTTGGCTATTGTGAGTAATGCTGCAGTGAACATGTATATGCAGATATCTCTTTGACACATTGATTTCAAGTTTTTAGGATATATATCCATAAATGGGATCGCTAGATCCCAAGTTTTTATTCTATCACTTTTCCTTTTTCTCATTCCTTGTTTTTCAATTTTATGATCTTCCAATGAACCAAGTCTTTATTTCTAATCTTATTTTCCATGTATTTGGGATGTATTTGTAGAGCCTTGCATTTTGGGTATTAGGGCCCACACTTTTTTTTTTTTTTTTGAGACAGAGTTTCGCTCTTGTTGCCCAGGCTGGAGTGCAGTGGCATGATCCCAGCTCACTGCAACCTCCGCCTCCCAAGTTCAAGTGATTCTTCTGCCTCAGGCGCTCAAGTAGCTGGGACTACAGGCACCTGCCCTCCATGCCTGGCTAATTTTTTATTTTTTATTTTTTATTTTTTTATTTTTTTTTTGTATATTTAGTAGAGACAGGGTTTCACCGAGTTGCCCAGGCTGATCTCAAACTCCTGACCTCAGGTGATCCACCCGCCACGGCCTCCCAAACTGTTGGGATTACAGACCTGAGCCACCGCGCCCAGCCGGGACCACACTACTGAAGAAGATTGTTCTCAAATGTGGAAAGACGGCCGGGCGCAGTGGCTCACTCCTGTAATCTCAGCACTTTGGGAGGCCGAGGGGGGCAGATCAACTGGGGTTATGAGTTTGAGACCAGCCTGGGTGACATGGTGAAACCCTGTCTCTACTAAAGATACAAAAATTAGCCAGGCGGGGTGGTAGGCACCTGCAATCCCAGCTACTTGGGAGGCTGAGGCAGGAGAATCGCCTGAACTCGGGAGGCGGAAGTGGCAGTGAGTCAAGATGGCGCGCCACTGCACTCCAGCCCCAACGACAGAGTAAGACTCTGTCTCAAAAAAAAAAAAGCTGGAAAGAAAGCAATATGCACTCCAGCCTGACAGAGTGAGAAAGTAATGTACACATATGAAACCTGACAAAGTTTTCTAAAGACACTATGATAGATATCATACACCAAGTTATAAGATTTTCTATTTTTTTTTTTAGACGGAGTTTCGTTCTTGTTGCCCAGGCTGGAGTGCACAAACTCGGCTTACCCGCAACCTCCGCCTGCTGGGTTCAAGCAATTCTCCTGCCCCAGCCACCAGGGTAGCTGGGATTACAGGTGCCCACCACCACGCCTGGCTAATTTTTTTTGTATTTTTAGTAGAGACGGGGTTTCACCATGTTGGTCAGTCTGGTCTCGAATTCCCAACCTCAGGTGATCCGCCCACGTCAGCCTCCCAAAAGTGCTGGTATTACAGGCGTGAGCCACCGCACCCGGCCTATAAGATCTTATACCTTAAGTTAGAGTAAAAGTTCCAGTTAATGTACAATCCCTAATACTCTGTAAACCATTAACTGGGTTAACAGTTTTAAATTAGAATCTAGGTAAAAACACTGGAACCTTTTTTAGCACATACAAGTGGATTTGGGACCCTATTAGGGTAAAATTATTCACCAGTTATGATTTCAATCCCTTAAAACTATCAGAAAGGCATACAAAAAAACAAAGAGAGGCCAGGGGCGGTGGCTCATGCCTGTAATCCCAGCACTTTGGGAGGCCGAGGCGGGTGGATCACTTCAGGTCAGGAGTTAGAGACCAGCTTGGCCAACATGGTGAAACCCCGTCTCTACTAAACATACGAAAATTAGCCGAGCATGGTGGCTCCAATCTGTAGTCCCAGCTACTCGGGAGGCTGAGGCAGGAGAATCGCTTGAACCCGGGAGTGGGAGGTGGCAGTGAGCCGAGATTACGCCACTGAACTCCTGCCTGGGCAACACAGTGAGACTCCTCCTCCTCCTCAAAAAAAAAAAAAAAAAAAAAAGCAGTAGAAAAGCAGACACCCAGGGTGGAAGGAGGAAAGATGCATTATTTGTGATTGTAATTTCTTCTCTTCTTGCTTCATACAGATATATATATGCAAAAGTAAAATGTAAATACAACAAGAGAGTCGATTAAAATACATAAAAAATCTGGGGGCTGAGCACATTCCCTAACAGAACATAGTAACAATTAAGGCTGGGAGCAGGAACAGATTATTTGAAGAACTAGCTGCTAAGCAAGATTTTATCAGATCAGTAGTAACCTTTAGATTTCTCAGCAGAACTAAAACTAGGGCATTTTGTTCATTCCCAAGCCTTTTTGGTAATTCTTCTTTTTGGAAGAAAGAATGTAAGAACTGAAACTATTTCAATGTAGTTGTTTTGTAAGCAGACCTAATAAAAAAGTCCAGCGGGAGAGAAATTGGACAATCCTGGTTGAACTGGGTTTTAATTTTTTAAATTTCTTATTTGCATTTACCTAGAAAACTAGTTGTTCGATATTCACTTTAAGAAAAAGCATCCACTTTTTCCCAGCAAGCAGTCTTTGATACCTGATTAAATTAACAGGACCCTTACCACCATGCACTTCTAGCTCCATCTCGCTTTAGCAGAATTACAATTGGAATTATAACTGGCTGGAGGGCGCCTGGCAGCACGCTCCAGGCCGTGCAAGTAAGTAGAAGCCTAAACCGGTATTTTATCAAGTTCGCAGTCGCCGGCTGCAGTTTAGAGACTAACCCGCACTCCATCCTTATCCCAGGGGCACTAAGCTTTCAAAGGAAAAGTTAGATCCCTAGGCTTTTATCCACTTTCCCTTGAAAACCTCCCGCTGGACCCTAAAGGTCGCCACGGGTCCCAGCCTTCGCGCCTCGCCTTGCAGGCGGGCTGGGGATGGCGGCGGAGTGCACCGCGGTGGGGCGCTGACCCGGTCCCGGATGCCCGGTTGGCCTCCGGACTCACCCGCTCCTCCGCGGAGTGGCGCCGGCACCGAAAAGGCTGAGACCCGCGTCTCTGGCCGATGGGTTCCGGGCGAACTGCGAGTGGTCTCCCGCGCGGACCGTAGAGGTGAATGCTGGGCGGCCGGCGCCTGGACAGTAAAAGCGGCGCGCGCCAGCCCCTCCCCGCCTCGCCACGCCTCCATGGCCGAGCTGCCCAGCCGACTGGAGGACGACCTCGAGGCAGCGGCCGGCTCACCGCGTGCTGGGCCGGAAGGCTTGAAAGGCACCGAGCGCTGAGGGGAGGGCTGAGGGGGACGCGTCCTCTCAGGGACCTCGCGAAATAAGATCGAGGCTTCAAAACAAGTTAACCTTGGCTGGGCGCAGTGGCTCACGCGAGTAATCCCAGCACTTTGGAAGGCAAAGGCGGGCGGATCACGAGGTCAAAAGATCCAGTTCATCCTGGCCAACATGGTGAAACCCGGTCTCTACTAAAAATACAAAAAATTAGCTATGCGTGGCGGTGCGTACCTGTAGTCCCAGCTACTCAGGAGTCTGAGGAAGGAGAATCTCCTGAACCCGGGAGGCAGAGGTTGCAGTGAGTCGAAATAGCGCCACTGCACTCCAGTCTGGGCGACAAGAGCAAAACTCTGTCTCAGAAAAAAATAATAATAATAAAAGCGAGTTGCCTGCTTTTGGTTGCTCCACGATTCCGTTAGGTTGGATGGTTTGTCCCTAGGCACGGTGACCTCACCTGGTGACAAATACACCGCCGTGCAAACCCACTGAACAACCAGAATCTACGCCCAAAGTCCTCTAACATGATCAGCTGCTTCCCTCTGCTCAACAGGGTCAACATTTTACATCCTCTGGACAGGGGCACACGTTACACTACCCATTGCTCCTCAAGGGGGCTGCGAATCAAACAAAATTTTAATCAAACCAAAAGCAGTTTGTTTCTCCAAAAGAAGGTCCTCCGGTGGGGGAAAAAGCTTAAAAAGCCACCTACCTTTCCCTTCCTGGGAGTTTTCTGGGGCCCGGGCAGCATCTTGGGCGCTGCTGTCCGAACCCCTTTGAGAGTCTTGGTCGTCAGGAATCTGGGTGCCTTGGTCGCCATCAATGGCGGCGCTGCTTTCGCAGTTGGTCTCAGACACACGGTCAACAAGAATTTGGGGCTCTTGTTGACTA